CGATACTGATGATACGTATACCCTCATCTTCCAAAAATTTTAAAGCGACTGATACATTTTCCAATTTCTGGGATCGAAAGGTAGGTCTTGGATTATGTTTTGGTAATCGTTTTTGAGATAGCACCTCGATAAGACCGACCAATTTGAGACCGTCCGATAGATCGCATTCGAGGTCGTCTATGTTCTTGTTGATGGCCTTGAGATGCTCGTTTGCCCATCTCGTAAAGGTGTTCTGTTGTATACGCTTCCACTGTGCATCCTCAGCCAATTCACGTTCAACCATCTCGCACTCTTCCTCCTCGGAGTTCTCGCACTTGACTGACTTATCATTCTGATTCATTTTATCGGCCGGCTCGCTGTTGCTGATGGTGGTGGTGGTGGTGATGGTGGTGATGGTGTGGTGGTGGTAACCGGGCACCCTGTTAACAGGCAGTAGTCATGGTGGGGATTGGAATGCTAACGCTACCTGACTCCTCATCTATGTACATGTGTATATGTTTACATATATATATATATGTGTGTGTATGGAATACACGTATTTACTTGTAGTAGTGTGTATCGTAGAACCGCTTGGTTCAATGTAGTACGAACGTCAGTTCTCCGAGAAATATACCGACGGTGTTTCGCAGATCAGCTGAATAAACTCAAAGTCGTGTGCGCGCGCAATCTGTCGAGTAATCCTGGAGCTCGCTGGAGTTGTGACCCACGTCTCCTCCTTTACTCTCTTCTTCCTCTACCACTCTTCCTATCCTATACACACTCCGTTTACTATCGGAATCTTCTCCTTTCGTGGTACCACGACGAAGACGATGACAACAGAGACTAGTTTTCAAGTATGACGATACGAGTCTTTTCTGAAACTTAAAACATTTTATTTATCATTAGCGATATATAGTATATATAGGACACACGTGTATTTGTATATACATGCATGAATAAACGTGCGTTTATGTGCGCGTACGTAAAACTGAGGTCATGGTTGAATTGGTGAATCAGTTCTTTTTTTTTATTTTACAATTGGAACATAGAAAGTCTCTCTCTCTCTCTTTCTGATTTGCATAATTGTGCTGCTGTAATTGTATATTTCATTTTTTTTTTATTTACGTTACGTCAAAAGGATTCATTAATTTATTATACTTTCGATTTGTATGATTATGAATGACATTAATAAATCATATCCATTTTATTCGAATATCTCTCGTCGTTGGGTTGGGACAAACCAAAAAAAATATCGTAGAAATGATTCCAATCGATTTCGATAAATAATAATTGGATACCATTCGAATCCATGACATCCAAGATGCAAATCTTGGTTTGACTTAGAATGCCCCATCCGCTAAGGCTCAGTGCCAAGATATTTTTGGGATATGAAGATATATTCGATTTTTTCTCAAGGTCTAATATTACAAGCTAAGGGTAAACTTTGTAATCATTCTTCTTCGAAAATACAGATCAACGGGTGAAACATTTCCCTAATCTCGTAGTATTTCATACTAAATTAATGATACATGTTTACGGATTAGTCATAATTTGTGAAACCGATAATAAAAATGAATTCATTTTCATTTAAATGATTAGAAACATTATACATTTTACGAACTATAATTTTCAATGGTTCATTAACTCATCTACACTTTGCTGTATATACTTTTATATCGATCATTTAAAAATCACTTTCGAAAAGTAATTTAACTTTAATGTTAGACGTTAAATTACAAATGTTTTATCATTTACATACGAAGAATTGAATTTTCACAAACGAATGTTAAGAGAGTTAGAAAGTACACTTATCCAATAATAGCGTTGTTTAAAAATAGACACGATGATTCTTCGTTCTTTTTTTATTTTTAACAATGGATCATATATTCGTAGAAACTATATTGGTCAAAAATCGACGTTTCGAACTGGGTAAACAAAAATATTTTTCAACGAGATACGAGTGAGTACAAAATCTTACAAAAACAAAAAAAATATATCAAATAATAAAAAACTCCACATTTAGAAGATTACGTATGAAAAATATTGACAAATCTTACCGCCAAAAAATATTTGATAATTTTTCGCGGGAATCGTATTTAAAATTCGCAATTTAAAAAGAAAGAGAGACAGAAAGAAAGAGAAAGAAAGAAAATTTTGACAGAATGAAAAGAGAACATTCGCACGACACTTGATTTGATTAAAACGCACTTAACAAATTGTCATAATTATAATAATAAAATTCCATTAGAGAGTCTCTCTTTTTCTCTGTCACATCAATTAAATATAAAAATGAATTTAAAACGTACACGCACATATACTGCACATACACACAGAAGTGCACACGCGTTCTGCTATAAATCCACTTATATTTACATGTGTAAAAATAAATATGTACTTATTTACATAGATACAATAATTACCAAAAAAAAGAAAATGAAAAAAGCAAAAATAATTAAAATAAGTAAAATAAGGAAGTAAGCAAGTAAGCAATTAAATAAATGAATAAATGAATGAATAAGTAAGTAAGTAAGGAAGTAAAGAAGTATATCCTGTCTGTGTGTGTCGTACGTTTCGAGCGTTAATCTTTTCGCGGTGGCTTACAGCGGTTTACTGACGTTTACTGACGCCGAATCGGGAAAGAGAAGACATCGAAGGTAGTTACTCCGCACGTTCTAAGGTTCTCCAAGAATAGTTTGCGGTCCCTCGCCTTCGGCATCCTCGGCCCTCACCGAGGGGTGAGGGGCTGTTCTATATATACACGCGTGAATCTCTTCTTCCTCTAATTCTCTTCCTCCTACACCACCACCCACCCCCTTTTCCTTCTTTTTCCATTTCCTCCTCCTCCCCTTCATCTTCTTTTTCTTCTTCTTATATTCCTTTTATTCTTACAACTCATGTCTACCTTTTTCGACTATCACTTCCCCTTTCACATAATCTTATCTTCCATGTATAATATATATAAGTTAGTATTTATATGTTCGAAGAAATGTATAATGAAGATTAAAGAAGGGGGAGAATCGTTCCATAACATCGGTGGTGAGAAATATCGTTGCCAGTGTCGATGACTGTGTTCTCTCTTACGTAGATTGTGGTGTTGCGTATCGTATGACTCCTTTGACGAAGATATCAACTGTAAAATAATTTAATCGAATTTTATTCATTAAAATAATAATATCATGTATCGAAGAAGAAATTGTAATTACACAAATAATAATTTATTTTTATGAAAATAGAAAAATAATTTTTATTTATTCAATAATATTAAAAATATATATTTGTTTTATATATTTTTATTCCAATTCTTTGATTATGTACTATTGAAAATAATTCAAATATTAATAATACATTCATAAACAAAGTCACACATGTACTATTCCTTTTTTATTTTATTGTTTATATGTAGCAAAATTTGATAAAGAAAAAAGTAAAGCATCTAGTATGTTTTTTGTTTTTTTTTTGCTGTGTAAAGATCATTAAATGCAGCTTTGACCTATTAACACGTATCAACTAGAATATATATATACACATGAGTAGGTAAGATAAGGAATGTCTTGGGTGTAGTTTTAAAACTGTTCGCCATATTTGGATTTGCTGTTGGAAGCAAGTGAACGCCGAAGGTATATACGTAAATACGTACTCATACAAGTTTCAAACTCATCGAAAGTCTTATAAACCATACAAGGACGAAGAACGATCTACACAATTTTATCGCCTTGTTATTTCGTAATTACCTGACTTAAATTAACTCTTTTTTTTGTATATAAACGATAAGACTTTCCAATTTGGCGACATTCACCAATAATTGTTCAGAATACGTAATCTCAGTATCAAAATCAAAAATAATTAACTCTTTCATTATAAAGAATTAATTAATTAATTTAATTAACTTACCTCAATCATTTTTTTCTCGTTTTTTTATGTTGGGCAAATATATTCGAATGTTTTTAAACACTTAAAAATTCTTTGAAAGTTGCTTCAAATATTCTGTGAAAATTTTCGCGAGGTTTCTCGTATGATTCGAAATTTTAATTCACTGAAAGTTCTGCAGATGGCAAGAGAAGCGCATTAAGGTTCATCACAACGAATAATTGGTCTTTTAAGATTTTTAAATCTCATTTTTTATTTTATTATTATTCCTGAAAAGAAAATTATTGTTCTATGAGATATGTATATAAAGTATTTTTATGCATGCACACTCATACACGCGCATATATACGTAATCAATTATTATGATGTTCATAAGATATTGATTTACACTTCGAAACTTGTAAAACAACAATTTAAATATCTTTTGAATATTTTCGCGCTTTTTTGCAAATTTATTTCTCTTGAAACTCTTCAAATTATTATAATTTTTAAAAATAAAATAATCTTATGATATATGTATATTATATTTTCTTAAACACACGTACACATATTATACATTTTTATTATTTTATTTCTAAAAAATAGACGCATATTTTGAGCATTTCGAAACAATAATTTAAAAGTCATTTGAACATTTTCGCGACTTCCGTATACTGTACAATTTTGTTTCTTCTAATGTACTGCAGATGGCGCAGAGAAGTGTCTAAACGTTCATCATGACAAATATAATTATTTTCTTGGAATATAATATCATTTTTAATATTATATTGATTCATAAAAATAAAATAATCATACGATCATATATATAACATATTTTTATATATGTGTGCACACACATGTATCTATCAATTATTACATTGTTAATAAAAAATGGATGCTTCTAAAATAAATCGATCATAGAATTGAACAAAGAAACGAAAAAAAATGGATAATAAAATAATAAATAAATTCAATTAGGCAAAGGAAATTGAATGGTACTATAGTTGGCATAAAAAATTGGACTTGTATGATATCACTTCCTGTTAGTCGCAAATCGATTCAATAGTGCAACCTCATTTTTAGTAAGATCCTTTGTTTCCAACTTCATTTGACCAAATCGATACAGAGAAACACCAATACACATGTAAACACATACATACATGCATTATAGTTGAAACGTAAAACATTATTTCTGAAAAAATAAAATTTCAACGTTTCAAAAAACAAATGTAAAAAAAAAACTTATTTACTTACCTAAATTAATTATTTTTCACATACTTCGATAAAACTTTAAATCACAGGTGAAAAGTAATTGTCTCTTTCTCGAAATTTACGAACACACCGAAAATCCGAACTGCTTTACCGACTGTTCAGCTGGTAACACGTCGTTCGAGAGGGACATATCAATGTAGATCGGTAAGATAGAAAGAGAGAAACAGATGGTGAGAAAGAAAGAGAGAGAGAGAGAGGAGAGAGAGAGAGATAGAGTAGACGTGACATTAGCAAAAGCGAATGAAAGTGCAAGAATTTGTAATAGGCTGAAAGTGTAATAACGAATTTACAAAAAGCAACGTAAATAGATTTGTTGTAGATGTGAATTGCCGTATAATAGTACGTGAGGTTGAACCTATAATAGAATTTTTTTTGTGGAGGCATTGTCAAGAAGAAAGAAAGGAAGGAATAGGGAGGTAAGACGGAAGAAGGGAAGAAAGGAAGGAAGGAAGGGTGAGAGAGAGGAGAGGAAAAGAAGGTTTAGGAGAATAATAAGCGTATCATCATTGAAGAAAGGAGAAAATAGTAGAGGGAAAGGAAAATAAAGGAATAGACGAAAAAAGAAGGTAAGAAGTAGAAGAAGAAGAACCCAAAGGAATATAGAGGATAGATAGAAAGAGATAGAAAAAACAAGAAAGAAGGAAAGAAAAAAAATAAAGGAGTGAGAGAGAGAGTGAGTGAGTGAGAAAGGGAAGATCGTTGGCGAAGGGGGCGCCTGTGTAGAGTGATCGTGCGTCTGCTGCTGGTGTGGTGGTAGTGCGCGCGTTCTAAGCTCCAGTAAAATAATCGGTGAAAGAATAAAGAATAAGTGTTAAGAAGAAAAGTAAGTTGGCCGGGTTGATTAGGACAAATCGAGGGGCATAATACGGCGAATAGTGAGATCCGATGTCTAGTGCTGAGGTGGTGGAGAGTTCCGTTGACCCCCCAGCCAAAAAGCCACGCTTTGCTGCCACAACGGGAGGTGCCGACGACTCCAAGACACTCGCAGACATGGCGAAGAATGGCTCGACGTCATCCCGGGCTCCCGCCGAAATCGACGAGAGCCTTTATTCAAGGCAGCTTTACGTGCTAGGACACGATGCCATGCGACGTATGGCGACATCCGATGTCCTCATTTCCGGATTGGGTGGTCTTGGGGTTGAGGTAGCTAAAAATGTTATCCTTGGTGGTGTCAAATCAGTCACCCTACACGACACTGCAGCTTGTCAACTCTCAGATCTTGGATCACAATTTTATCTTACCAAAGAAGATATTGGTAAGTAGTAATAATAGTTTCTATGTTAACCTTTTTATATTATTAGATTTTGTTAACGTTGAATGAATGATTTAATTAAGTATTTATAGCTTAAGAATGAGATCATAAGTTCTATTTTATCTAATTGTAATTCTCGTTTTTAGGTAAAAATCGGGCTGCTGCTTGTTGTCAACGTCTTTCAGAACTTAACAACTATGTACCAACTTCATATCATTGCGGATCATTAACTGAATCTTTTATCAAGAAATTTAGAGTCGTTGTATTGTCAGAGACTCCTCTTTCAGAACAATTGCGTATCTCTCAAATTACTCATGCCAATGATATAGCACTTATTATTGCTGATACTCGTGGTCTGTTCTCTCAGGTCTTCTGTGATTTTGGTCAGTCGTTCACTGTCGTAGACACCAATGGTGAACCACCTGTTAGTGCTATGGTCGCTAGTATTTCTAAAGATTCAGAAGGAGTTATTACATGTTTAGATGATACTCGTCATGGCATGGAAGATGGCGATTGTGTAACATTCTCAGAAATTCAAGGCATGACTGAGCTTAACGGTTGCGAACCTAAAAAGATCAAAGTACTTGGACCGTATACTTTCAGTATCGGAGATACTTCTACTTATTCTGAATATATAAGAGGTGGAATCGTAACGCAAGTTAAGGTACCAAAAACATTGCATTTTCTACCACTGGATGAAGCCTTAAAAAAACCCGAATTCTTAGTAACTGATTATGGAAAATTCGATTATCCTAAACAATTGCATTTAGCATTTAAAGCTTTAGATCGTTATCGAGAAAACGAAGGAAGATTGCCTAAACCATGGAATGAAGAAGATGCCGATGCATTTGTAGGTATCGCTGAAAACATTAAAAAAGAAACTGAAGATGACATTGAGATTAATACAGATCTATTGAAAACATTTGCTAAAATCTCTGCTGGTGATTTAAATCCTATGAACGCTACGATAGGTGGTATCGTAGCTCAAGAAGTAATGAAAGCTTGCACTGGTAAATTCCATCCCATATATCAATGGTTGTACTTCGATGCAATCGAATGTCTGCCTAAAGAAGAACCTAAGGAAAAAGATTGTAGTCCACTTGGTACTCGTTACGATCGACAAATAGCTGTTTTTGGAAGACCATTCCAATCTAAGATTGGTAGTCTAAAATATTTTGTTGTTGGAGCAGGTGCTATTGGTTGTGAGCTATTGAAGAATTTTGCTATGATAGGAGTTGGATCAGAAAATGGTTATGTTACTGTAACAGATATGGATTTGATAGAAAAATCGAATTTAAATAGACAATTTTTGTTCAGACCATCCGACGTTCAAACATCTAAATCATCTACAGCAGCCAGAGTTATTAAAGGAATGAATCCTGACATGAAAGTTATTGCTCATGAAAATAGAGTTTGCGCTGAAACTGAAAAGGTATACAATGATGATTTCTTTGAAGATCTCGATGGAGTTGCTAATGCTTTAGACAATGTTAATGCACGCATTTATATGGATCGTCGATGTGTCTATTACCGTAAATCTTTACTAGAATCTGGTACCTTAGGTACAAAAGGCAATACTCAAGTGGTTGTTCCATTTTTAACTGAATCATATAGTTCTTCACAAGATCCACCAGAAAAAAGTATACCAATTTGTACATTAAAGAATTTTCCTAATGCAATAGAACATACTCTTCAGTGGGCTAGAGATTATTTCGAAGGTTTATTCAGACAAGCTGCAGAAAATGCAGCTCAATATATTTCAGATCCTCAATTTATAGAAAGAACCTTAAAACTGCCTGGTATGCAACCATTAGAAGTACTAGAATCTGTTAAAACTGCATTAGTCGATGAAAGACCTAAAACATTTGCTGATTGCGTCGCATGGGCTCGTTGTCATTGGCAAGATCAATATAGTAATCAAATCAGACAATTACTATTTAATTTTCCACCTGATCAAGTAACATCCAGCGGACAATTGTTTTGGTCTGGACCAAAACGTTGCCCTGATCCATTGGTCTTTGACGTTAACAATACTTTACATATGGATTATATCGTCGCTGCTGCTAATCTGAAAGCAAAGGTCTATGGAATTAAAACTAATCGGGATCGTGAAGAAATTGCTAAAATAGTTTCCACTGTTCAAGTACCAGAATTTACTCCAAAGTCAGGCGTTAAAATAGCTGAGACAGATACTCAGGTTCAAGTATCTAATGGAATGGGACAAGTATCAAGTGGAAATCTCGATCACGAAAGGCTAACTCAGTTGCAAGAAGAATTACCAAAAGTTAGTGAACTTAATGGATTGGAAATACATCCTCAAGAATTTGAAAAAGATGATGATACGAATTTCCATATAGACTTTATAGTAGCAGCATCTAATTTACGTGCTACTAATTACAAAATTGCACCTGCTGATAGGCATAAGAGTAAACTCATAGCTGGAAAGATTATTCCAGCTATAGCCACCACTACATCTGTAGTAGCTGGATTGGTGTGTCTAGAGTTATACAAATTAACCAGAGGTGTTAGAGACTTGTCTGTTTATAAAAATGGTTTTGTTAATCTGGCCTTACCATTCTTTGGATTCTCTGAACCAATTTCGGCACCTAAATTAAAATATTACGACACGGAATGGACATTATGGGATCGTTTCGAAGTTAAGGGAGAGCTAACGCTAAAAGAATTTTTAAATTACTTCAAAAAGAATCATAACCTTGAAGTAACCATGCTATCCCAAGGTGTATGTATGTTGTATTCGTTCTTTATGCCAAAACCAAAATGCGAAGAACGTATGGGCCTACTTATGTCAGAGGTTGTGAAGAAAGTATCTAAGAAAAAATTGGAACCCCATGTAAAAGCACTGGTATTTGAACTATGTTGTAATGATGCCGAAGGAAACGATGTCGAAGTCCCATACGTACGTTATACTTTAGCTTGACTCCCTCTTTAAACATTTATCAGTAAAACAGAAAAAAAAAAGAAAACATAATGTCTACTTAAATTGACTTAGCCTTAGTGATTTTTACAAATTTCTATTTTACAACGCAGATACTGAAGGTAATTGATTTTTGTCTTTGTATAAGATGTAAGGTTCTTCATAAAATAAGAATATAAGTTTATTTCTTTTATCAGCGCTTGTTGGTAGCATTTTCAGTGCTTGAATGTATCTTACTTAGACGATCCCCACCTTTGGATAAGATTACCACTCTGTTTTAAACCAACAGAATTATAAATTTCAAGATTGTGCTTTTTATTGTTATATTTTTCTACTATTTTGCTACAATTTCATTCTAAAACTGTTTTTTCACTCTATTTATTCGTATTTACTCCTTTGTATAATTGGATAAATTTAAATACGTTTCCTAAGTTTTAAATATTATATTATCTCGCAATGGACAACTTTACAGTAAACTCAACAACAAAATACACAAATAAATAAATAAGTTAATAAATAAATAAAACTAGAGAAGCATTTACAATCTCATATATAAAAAAAGAAAAAAACCTCCAAAAAAAAAAAAGAAATCATTCAATGCGAGTTACATAAGTGAATATAATAATAATAAATATGTGTTAATATGTTATATGTGAGCTTGCAATTTGCCATAAAGTTTACGTGAGGAAATATTTTTCATGATTAATATTAATAATAATAAAAATAATAATAATAATGTAAAACTGAAAGAATGTTTAGATATATTATCAAATTTATAGAAAAAATGATTGTGTGTGAAACAGATGGTCACCGTGGCTTTAAATGAAATAATATTTAAAAAGGAAAATAATTGTTAGATTCCAAATAATAATAAAAATATAATAATAAAAAAAAAAAAACAAAAACAAAAAAGCAAAAGAAGGGTATCATCGTGGTAAGAACATTCTTATTATCTGACTTTACTATTTTATATATAACAATAAATTTTTTTGTAAATTATTATGCAACATATTCTTAGAGAGTGAGAGAGAGAGAGAGATATGTCACAATTGCAATTAAATACAATTAATAGATGTGAACGAAAAAAAAAACAAGAAAAAAATAGAAAAAGAAAGAAAGAAAAAAAAATCAGTGTAGAATAGCAAAACATTAAAAATATATCTTGCCTCTGTCTTCTTCTTATTTTGTTTTTCTGTTTATCGATAATAATATAGTTATGTACTTGCACACATACCTAAACAAGAAGAAAATGTGCTCATATTTTTTTTTATTTGGTTTTCTGTTCTCTTTTTTTCACGCTTTTATATTTTTAACATAAAATCAAGTTGGATATTAAAAATAATTTACAGATAAATAAATAAAAATAGTTATTTTAGTTTTGTCATAATATAAGATTATGTTTAAAGATGTATGATTTAATTTTTTGAACGAAGCTGCATGTGATTGATAAAAGAAAAAAAATGAACAAAAAAAATATATAATAATAAAGAAAGAAAAAAAAAAAAAGTACTACACGCGCATTTGAGAAAGCCTTTAAAAAAGAAGAGAGAAAAATGCAAAACAAAAAGAAGAAAAAAGGAAATTAATTACATGTCACACACCAAGGATGTCAAGAAAAGGAAGATATTTTAATTTTAGAAGAATTCAGATATTTATTGTATTATTTTAACAATAAGTCGTAAATAGATGTGTTTGAATTTCAAAAAAAAAAAACATAGAAAATATAATAATGAAATAAAAATTGGACATTTGTGTTTATTTATTTAAACAATTGTTTCATAACTGTCATTTTCTTTTTTATTTTAATGTGAGACTTTTGTTAATCGTTCTAATAAAAAGTTCAATATGATGCTACTTATTTATATAATATGATTTCTCCTATTAAATTGTTTTCATTTATTTTATCAAAGCCATGTAATGTTTCTATATGTAACTTATACATATCTTACTATAGCAATAAAAATCGTTTTTTGAACATCTTATAAGATATTTGTATATACAAATGAGATAAACATATATTTCAATTTTCTGTGTAATTAAACAAATTGATTTACAAAACAAATAATTAATTATGAATAATAACATACATTTAATTGAAAACTTATTGCATCAAATAAATTTGTATTAATCTTATAACATAACCACCAATTGTAAAACATTTATAAGAATATTCTTTCTATCATTTGTCAGAATTCTTTTTATTGTCAGATTTAATAATATTTTATTTATTCTATATTTTGTTTCTACATTATAAGATATATATGTATCTACAAATAAGATTAATAAAAAGATAACATAAAAATATAAATAATACTGACCACTAGAGTGCATCATGGTGCAACGGCGGTAAGCGTGACATTTAGGTTAGTATTTGAGTTAATGTGTAATTCTAACCTTCAAATAAAAAGTTTATGCAATAAAAATAGTATTAATATGAATCTCATTTAAAATCATTATGTATAATATATCTATGTAAGCATATAATAATAGTAATAATAATAATAATAATTAAAAAATGAAGTGGATTAATAAACTACTTTATATCTCATCAAGACAATGTATGAGGAATTACATAAGACAGTCTAAGATTGTCAACACTCAAATTTTTTATTCTTGTCGTACACTCAGTACAACAATATCTAATATCAATAATTGTAGTGATAATAATAAAGAAACTAGAAAATATTTACCTAAAGATGGGTTAACCTTTCAAGATTTTTTAACAAAAAGTGTTGAAAACAGTGACAGTGTTTCCAATGTTTCTATCATTGAAAATGTTCCATATATTGAGAATATTCATGGTGAAAATCAGAAAGGTAAATACGAATACAATTTTTGTTTATACGTAAAACTTTTTGATATAAAAATATTTATATCATTTCGACTTGTTTTTTTAGTTTATTTTGAGGTTCATGGTTGTGCGATGAATGTTAACGATACAGAGGTAATATGGTCAATATTAAAAAATCATGGTTATCAACTAGCTAATGACATAAAAAATGCAAATATTATTTTGCTAGTTACTTGTGCTATCAGAGATGGTGCAGAGCAAAAAATATGGAACAAGTTGTTTCATTTATGTCATATGAAAAAGAAGTGTAAAGGAAAGGTTCCTTTGAAAATTGGATTATTAGGTAAGACCAATATTTATAAACATAAAAGTATTATGATTTTGTATTTTCATTTTATTATTCGATAGGATGTATGGCTGAACGTTTAAAACATAAAATATTAGAAAAAGAAAAATTGGTAGACGTTATCGCTGGTCCAGACAGCTACAAAGATTTACCCAGACTTTTGGCACAAACTGATAAAGAAACTGCTATTAATGTTATGTTATCACTTGATGAGACTTATGCAGATATTGTACCTGTTAGACTCCATTCTAATTCTGTCAGCGCATTTGTGTAACGTATTTAAATTATTAAACTTAAATTACTCTATCCACTCGGTTAATATGATTTGTATTTTATATCATCTTATTATTTGTAGTTCCATAATGCGAGGATGCGACAACATGTGCACTTATTGTATAGTACCATTTACAAGAGGAAGAGAAAGATCAAGACCAATCGACAGCATTGTTAATGAAATTCAACATTTATCAAATGAAGGAGTAAAAGAAGTTATTCTTTTAGGACAAAATGTAAATAGTTACCGAGATTTATCTCAGTCAGATTTTTATACACCATTAAGTTCAGAGACTAATTTAGCTAGAGGATTTAAAACTGTATATAAAAATAAAAAAGGTGGATTGAGGTTTAGTGATTTGTTAGACAAAGTATCACAGATCAATCCTGAAATGAGGATAAGGTAAATTACTTTATAAAAAATATGTTTTTGTTTTATGATAAAACAATGGAAAGAATAAAATAAACTTTTTTTTAGATTTACATCACCACATCCAAAAGATTTTCCAGACGAAGTACTCAAATTGATAGCTGAAAGGCCTAATATTTCAAGGCAATTACATTTACCTGCTCAAAGTGGAAACTCTGCAGTATTGGAGAGAATGAGACGTGGATATACAAGAGAAGCATACATTGATCTTGTACATCACGTACGTGACATTCTTCCAGATGTTGCATTATCTAGTGATTTTATAGTTGGTTTTTGTGGAGAGACTGAAAAAGAATTTCAAGATACTTTGTCGTTGATTGAATTAGTCAAATATAACACTGCCTTTCTATTTGCATACAGTATGAGAGAGGTAAACTATCAATTAATCATTCCTTCATAAATATTCGTTTGAACATATAAATATTTGTTATATGAATGTAGAAAACAACAGCTCATCGTCGATACAAAGATGATGTTGAAGAAAGTGTTAAAGCGGATAGACTTCGTAGAATAATAGAAGTACACAAGAAAGAAGCAGAAATATTTAATAATACATATATTGGTCAAATACAACTTGTACTCGTGGAAGGAGTAAGTTTCTCTTCTCTTTAAAAAGGATATATTACCTATTATAGTAAAAATGATTTATTACATTGATAAGACATGTATGTACATTTATTTTTGGTAGGTGAGCAGGAAGTGCGATGAGAAACTTCAAGGAAGAAATAGTCAAAATCTAAGAGTTTTACTTCCTTGTGCTACAATACCTATCGATGAACATTCAACTATTACAAGACAAATAGAAGCTGGTGATTACGTAGTGGTAAAAATTATCAAATCTAATTATTTGACGTTAATGGGAGATCCTCTTTATCATTCAACCATCGCTGACTTTGCTTCTAATGCTGAAATAATGAAACATTAGTGTACTATTTAAATATGTGTGACAATATAAACACATTGGTACAGATTCAATTATTAGGAGCATTCAAAAATACAACGATATCGTATCAAATTGGATAATAAATTTCTATTACGTTACAATATAATCTAACAAATGACAACTTGTACATAGTATGACACACTTATGCACATGTTATAGCGCAATAAATATTATTATTTATTATGTTGATTTTTTTTTTTATGTATGGCAACGAACAATGAATTATTACATTTCCTACCATACACGATCGAAGATTATTTTATAATTATATCTAGTGAGTATGACGATCGAAAACACTTATATTTGTACTCAAATTACAAACTTCTAAAACGTTTCGATTTCTCGCTTTTTTTTATAATATAATATTTATATCAAAATATGAACACACAGGTATACATATATATATAATAAAAATAATAATATTAATAATAAAGAAATCGTTTATAATCGGTGTTATACTACAATATCATCAAGTTATTGAACAACGTGTACAAAAATAATAGAAGGTACGTGAAAACAAGTCTATTAAAAGAAAGAGAACGTAGAGTATAATTAAACTTTTTTTAATGACAGTTCACAAAATTACGAGCGTGCTCGATCTTGCGTCATCTTTGGAAATTCCACGTTCACATTTGATATAAGTCTTAAAATAAAAAGTTAAACGAGACTCGCTGTTCCTATATTAATGACAACATTGTCTGCGCCTCTTTCATATACGGTCAAGTCATGTCCTCTTGGTTGTTCCAATAAAGCAGCTAACTGTTCTCCACTTGGGAATGTTCCTCCTTGCGAAGGTGGTAGAATAACATCGCATTCTAATTGTCCTGTATTATAAAAGATTTCAATCGTCTACTGTATATATCTATATACGTTTCGTAAACAGTAATATAAATTCTATGTTTGTGAATTTAGTGTAAAAGTTACCTGAGAGAGAAGGAGAAGCACCTTTACTCGAACCGTACATACGCGTACTATATCCAGAATCATTGTGAGCATCGTGTAATAGCGGAGTAGGACTATAAACGGCACTACGAGATCTGTAAGGCATCCTTGCGATGCTGTCGTAATGAACATCTTCTTGTATAACTCCTTTGTTCGAAACATTTCCTTTAAGGGCTTCTGGTTGCTCCATGTCATCCTCTCCTTCGCTACTTTCACTGTTGTTACCTGCGTGTTCGTATAACAATGAGATATCATTTCTCTGTTTAATGTTTGTTCAGGATGTGAAGAAAGAAGGAACACACTTGCTGTCGATGATGATAAGTATCGAAAAAAACAGATTGATCATTCATAGTGAATATTTAAAATATACCTTCACCTTCACCGTGCCAAGTGTTTCCTACACCACCCTGTGGTTGAATCCTTTTGTTTTGTGAACACTGACTATGTTCTGGACTGGTAGGTTCGCTACTACCAGAACGTTGTCCACGCCAGCCATTATGCATGCCTGGTACTTGTTGAAATCTTTTGATCATCTCGTGAACGCTACGACGACTTGGCGAAGATCTCCATTCACCTGAATTTTCTTCACCATTTTTACGAACCGTGTTGTTATTGTCTTCCTGGTTAATATTCGCACTTTGTTCTTGCGATAATGATGTCTGCGAGAGAGAATTAGTAGAGAAATCAGTATAGAGATTTAGTAGATAATCTGAAGAAGTAGAAAGTGTATCATGAAACTTACTCTTTGTCGACGAGTCTGTTGTCTGGAACCCATAGACGGTGAAGAAGCAGCACCAAGAGGTGAGCTACGATCTTGCCTGATAACACCATCGAAAGTCTCGTTCAATCTTGCTGGTACGTCAAGTACTCTCAAAGTTGACCTTGCCATACCAGATCCCGAAGGAAGATCCTTCATAGATTTGCTTAGTCTAGGAATAGCAGGAATATCCAGATCATCAAGACTACCACGATAAACAGGAGTTTCTCCAGGTATTTCAAAGCTTCTATCCTGTGGTCTATCATCGAGCAAATCCTCGAGTGATCTGGCACGAGTTGGTGGAATTTGATCGTCAACGTTAGACGTTCTAGCTGGTCTTTCACTGTGTCTACCTCTTCCACCACGTGACAATCTCTGTTGAATATGTTGATGTCTTTCATCGCAACGCGCTCTTTCAGCTGCCACGCAACGCGTTAGTTCAGAAATTTGTCCGCGAGTTCTTCTCTCAAGATTAGCAACTTTCAAATCCAATCTTTCATGAGCTTGATCTATATGTGCTTTTAATTCCGCTTTATCGCGTTCCAATTTAGCTTCCATATGCCTGAAGAAGGGTGCACAATAACAAGTATAACCAACACCAACCGGACCCTTTCTTATATTACCAGCCAAGTCCAAATAATATTGTTCACCCCTTCCTAATGGATCAGGTGGTAAAGAATCTAATCTTGGTTGTGGAAAAGCATCAGGATCCGGGTAATAATGACAACCATAAGGTGACCATTGTCTACCCATTACTGCTTTCTCAAAATGTACTCTGTGAGTTTTTCCACCGCTACCTGAACTACCACCACCCTTGTGTTTTTTCTTATCCTTTTTGATCGTACAACCATCCCTACTACCACTTGTACCACTACCAGTTTTCTCCCGTTTCTTCTCGTTTCTATCGCACTTACCTGGTGCAATAGTACCACCAACACCAATACAACCAACACTATTACTACTAACATTAGCAGCATCGACCTTGTCGTTGTTACACGATTCCTCGTCGCGACTTTTGCTACGGGCTCTACTCTTGCTCCTTGCTTTACCGATTATCTCGAGTATCTCTGTCAGGTTTTTGCGACGAGCTATATCCTTTGCCGTTTCGCCCTGCTTGTTTCTCAACGTCCTGTCGCAACCGGCTTCAAGAAGTATCCTCGTCAATTTTCTACGTCCCATTGCTGCTGCGATGTGAAGTGCCGTATCACCGTTCTATGTTCGTTTACAAAAAGAATATATATATGTATACATTAATTTTGTATCAAGAATTTTAATAATCCTTTCTTTATTGACATATTAAAAACATAACCGATCATTATACAATTGAATTATAATTTTAAACTCGTGTAGTTATAATTGATTTTAATTTTTATTTATTTTTGAATTTGTATAATGATATTACTTATAAGATTAATCGTAAGTTATTTAATATTTGATTAATTATAAATAATATATGCAAGTATGTTAACTATGACCTAATCTGACCGATTATTACACAATTGAAGTATAATTTTAAACTCGTGTCATTATAATTGATTTTAATTTTTATTTACTTTTCTTTTTTTTTGTTTTTGAATTTTTATAATGATATCAGTTATATGATTAATAGTAAGTTATTTAATATTTGATTAATTATGAATAACAAATACAGGTGTGTTGGATGGTTGGATCAAAAATTAAATATTTGAATATTAAAAATAAATAAATGATGTACGATTTAAGTTAATTTTATAATTTGAAATTAAATTGAAAGTGTTAAAATAAAAAACTTACTTTATTTTGTTCAGAGACTCTGCAAAGAGCTGAAATTAAGATACGCGTAACACCTGCGTGACCGTAACGTGCGGATGTATGAAGTGGTGTGTCTCCGTACTGAAAATAAAACAAAACGAAATGATATATACATATATGTATACATACACACACATATATAAAATTACATTATATAAAAATAGAACAAAATTCAAATTATCCAGATATTATATATACACCGAAGAAAGATAGTTGGTTAAGTCGTTAAACCGGATGGGCCAAGCTCATATGAATGTTCGCTACAACTTAATGATCAAGATAAACGAATCTAATAAATGATTAATCGAGTATACGATTATGCGAAAATTAATGACGTTAGAAGAAGAAGAAGATGTATATGTATGTATGTGTGTATGTGAAAAAAAAAATAATTTATTTGAATTATCAACGTTCCATGGTGTTATCGAGAAAATTACGAGCAAAAGTTAATCAATAATCCGAGTTGCAAAAACACATTTAAGTATCTTACAATATTATTCTGAAATATAATTTATAATTAATTCCTTATATTCCTATTAATAAAAAAAAAAAAAAAAATTATAATAATCACAGAGAATATTAATGAAAGTTTAAAAAATAAAAATAAATATAAAAATAAAATTAAATTAAAAATATTGATGCAAGCAATACTTGGTTGTATAGTACAAATTTTGCATAATATGTTTAATTAAAAATAAAATAACAACATAGAAATAAAAATAGATTATATAACTAAAACCTTTGATTTAAATTTGGTATAAATAATAATAATAATCATTATAATAATAATTTTAGTACATAGTACATAGTACAAATTTTGGCATAATATATTTAATTAAAAAAAAATAATAAAAACATAGAAATAAAAATAGATTATAATATAACTAATACCATTGATCTAAATTTGATGATAAATAATATTAATAATAATAATAATAAGAATTTAGTTTAATAAATTACATTGTTCTGAAGATCGGGATTACATCCAGCAAGAAGAAGTTCTCGACAGCTTTGGTTATGGCCATTTTGACAAGCAAGGTGAAGCGGCGCAAATCCAGCTAGATTCCTCGCGTGCAAAGGTGCACGTTGTGTCCCGAGGGCTTTTGCCAAAGCAGCAACAGTCCTGCTGTATCCTCGCCAGGAGGCTTCGTGCAAAGCCGAGTTTCCATGCTGAAACCAAAAAAAAAAACGTTCATGCAAATTTTCTCATATATATATGTAATAACATTTATACACGCGTGTTTGTTTCACCTTTCTTCGTAGCTACTAAACGTGAAACATTCTAATCTACGAGTGAATCGATCCCTTGCGCGTTCATTTTTATTTTTATTTTTTTTTTTTTATCAACCCATTCCTACCCCCAATTTTTTTGATGCCGAAGGATGGGTCATCCTTTCCTGACCCGGATAGAATTTATTTTTTTATTTTTTTGTATTGTTTTATTTTATAAATTATTTTCAATGTGGAGGATGTAGTAGGAGTTCTGGGATATGTTCGTAAGTATTGTAATTGGAATTAAAAATTAGTTTAATATGGTTGTGAATTTAAGGGTAAGGGTTTATACAAAATTATTTAGAAATCTTTTTAATAGAGCGCAACTTCTAATATTAAAAAATTATACTATTTGCGTATTTCGGTTATATCTATTTCATTATATTATTTAAATAATATATATACACTTTTTCAATAAACTTATAATACATACAATTATTATAATATATAATAATAATTTTATATAAATATTAATTATAATATAATATATTACAATATATATATATATAATAATTTTATATATTATATAATTATAATATAATTATATTGTAATATAATTGTTTTATTAAAATTATTAACATAATAATTTTAATATAAATTTAACTGTAAACTTTTAAAGGAACGCAATATGCAATTTATAAATCGTTACTATAATAATAATATTTACTATAAATGTGAAATAATCAAAGGATTAATTTGAATTTATTTTTTTATTACAACAAATTTCAGTAGTGACTATAAAAAAAGAAAATAAAACAAAAGGGATAGAAATTTCAACAACTTTTATCGATGGTACGATAATGACAAAAGAAAATAAAGAAAGAAGCTATAAAGCTTCCTGGTTGAAAGAAGGTAACTTCGGACGGTGTTAAAAGCGCCAGTAGATTTATGCAAATAATAGATCCTTTCTATTCTAACCTAGGTTGGTAGGATAACAGCAGCAGCAACAGCAGCCAACAAGCTCGTCATAAAATACGGCCACGGGTTATATACCGTACTAAAATCAAGAGTTTCGTTTACGAGTGCGTTGTTATCGATGCTCGAGCCTTACACACACACATAACACATATAACATACATACATACATTAACACACATGTACACATACACACATATAATATATACATTATCTTTCTCTCTTTCTCATTCTCTTCTTTCTCTTCAGTTTTTTTTCTTTTTTTTAACTTTCAATGGAGTGTCTTGAGTTTAATCATGTTCCGCGAACGTTATCAGCGTACATCATGGTCATCCATTCAGAGAGTAATTTATCACGGAGTGTCTCCTTCGTAAAACAGCGTCATAGGTTGGTTTGTACGGTGTACGAACCGGTTGCAGGTGAAAACGACCCCGATGCTGCTGGTCGTACGTGTCACCTTGGGGTTAACGATGATTCCTCTTCTCAAGGGAAAGGGAATCCAACTTATGTTAGAGAAACTGAGAAAATTCACTTCTTCTTTGCTTACACCATCATTTGCTACCGCTAAATTAAAGGATTTTACTATTTTAAGTATCGTTCAATGTTATTTTTAAGAATTATTCTCAACTTCATTACAAGTTGATGTTTCTTTTTTCTCATACCTGTCTCTAGAATTGGTTTGTATGTATTTTATGTATGTATAGGTGTATGTTTAGTAATAAGAAATAACTTCTGTAATTAGAAATAACTTCGATTGATTGTATCGAGTAATTTGAGATTACTCGAGACACGACATATCAATGTTAGAAAAAATGTACACTTCTAATGAACGTTTCTGAACCGTTATCATCTTCACATAAACTTTTCTCATCTTTCTTAGTCATTTATCAAGCAGGTGTCTTTCTATAGAAACAAATAAAACAGATTTGAAATAGAAGTAAAAAATAATCAGAAATAGTAAAATAATGCTTACTTTGAAGACTACTTATACTCATAAAAAATTTAGGTAGATACCACTACTGGGTATCAGTAGAATCCCTAAACCTTTCTACTACTGCAGAGCATAATTAGAATGCCACCAGTGGTCTACAATAAGCTCTGGAGAATTTTTAGGTAGGTTGTGGGGGATGGTTTGTAAAATCTGTGGAGGGAGTTGGGAAACGGTTGGGGAAGTGATGGGTGAAGGGTTGGAAAAAGTAATGAGGAAAATGTTGGAAAAAGTAATGGAGAAAAAGTTGGAAAAAATAGTGGAGGAAATGTTGGAAAAAATGGTGCGAAAAAGGTTGGAAAAAGTGGTGGGGGAATGGTCAGAAAAAAGGGTGGGAAAAGGGTCAGAAAAGTGGTAGGGGGAAGGGTTGGTCAAGGGGTGGTGAAAGAGGGCTGGTCAAGGGATGGAGGAGGGGAAAAGCCTATATAAAGGAACACGCGCATAGAATGCAGCGGATCAGTTCGAATTTGAATTTCGAGGAAGACGGTACTCAGATCATATACTGGGTGTTTTTAGATAACAATAAACATTCTTTTCGATAATTTATCGATTATTTTAATACTTTACTACTACTACAATACCATTGCAATACTATATATACTATACAATACACTACTATAATACTATACTATTATACTAACTACTACAAGTATATATGTGTACTATATATGTAGGGAATTTTATTTAGGGTGAGAGGTGCGAGGTGAACATACACCCAGTTTAATCCTACTAATAAGATTTAATTTAAAACAGTTTACAACAGGTTACAACTTAGATGAGCGACTGTATTCTTACAACTGATAACAACTGCGACTGTTACGACTGATGATTAACTACGGCTACGACTATGACTGCTACTGCCGCTACGACTACTGCTTCGACTACTTCTACGACTACTGCTGCAACTACTGCTAACTTCTTATTTCTTTCCACGTATTTTATATCAGTAATGACCTACACCCCTTTTGAGAGGGAAGGAGCTTACGAATCTTATTGACCAATAGCATAAGGATCTACCCCATAGTCCACCGACAAGTACAGCCTATGGTTTTCGGTAGTGGGAACTATGCATAAAGAAACTTGATCTAGAACATCGGAATGTTATCTCTTTTTATGGTATTGCATATGTTTACATAGGAATCCGAAATTCTTCAAAGGGTCCCGACACTGAACAAAGGGTTTTTATTGCACCAATATATCCCGATAATTCTTAGGTTTGTTTATGGTTTTATGGCCTTTCTAATCTTTTCTTTCAGTCTCTGAAAAGAGTTTTCCTTTCCAGAAAATAAAATATAAAAAAAAGAACTGAATACTAGTTTTTCGTCTACATCTGCTACACTTAAAACTCTCCTACATATATACTAATACAGTATATATTAATACAATACAGTAGGCACATTACATACATATTACACGACTATTAACATACTTTAAATATTAAATAATTTTTAACTGATAATTTTTTAAATAAAAATGTTTACCCAACCGGTTATCACTACGCATGAGTGATAATATAATTTCATATATAGACATTCAAATAATTAACAATTATTTTAATATTCTAATACACTCTTCTTATATTTCAAATTTTTTTACAGTATATACATTTACATACACATTACACGCTTATTAACATACTTTAAATGTTAAATAATTTTTAACTAATAAATTTTTAAATGAAAATTATTACCTTACAGGTTATCACTGCGCATGAGCAATAAAATAATTTCATTAGAATGAAAAATGTTCAAATGAAAACGTTATAATCTTAAATTCTTTTTATTAGGAATATTATGACCGTTGCACACATGTACAACATTCGAAAAGTCATATAAACAACAATGAATAAAAGAACTTTCACTAAAGACAATAATAAAGTTTAACAGTCATCACATATTCTGAGCTTTTAGGCAACAATAGAACCCTTGCATTGATTAATTAACAATTATTTTGATATTCTAAGACATTCTACTTTCATTACAGGACAATTTAACCCACGAAGTCATTACTGCGTAGGAACGATAAAATAATGACGTTAGAATAATAAAAATGCTTAAATCCGATCGGTATAATCTTGAATTTTCTTTATTAGAATTATTATTACCGTTGCAGAGATAATCAACATAAAAAAAAGTCATATAAACAACTTTCTAATCAAAGTTTTGTTTTAGAGAACAATGGGTCAGTCCATAAGTAAATTTCGAAGAGGAAGGTACTCCGAAAATATATTCCGTACTTTTAAATAATAATCGATACTTCTATCGATTTATTAACAATTATTTTAATACTGTAATACACTTTAATTATTTTTCAGATTGTTTCAACGCATATACATTTGTTTAAACGTTACATACACATTAACGTACTTTAAATAGAAAATAATTTTAATATGAATTTATTTTTTCAGTTTATCAGATTACTGTCTTCAATTTGATTGCATTCCTGGATCGAAAGGTAATATAAAATGCTCCAATTACTTAGATAGCAAAAGAAATTGTATTAATATACATTAAAATTTCTGTTTCAGAAGCGGTTTAATGGGTAGCGGGTAAATTTTGTGTTCGTAAAGGGTGGTACCATTTACGAATAAAGAATTTACTTCAGGCATGCGACCCTGCCCACGCGAGCCATGATTCTATCTTACTCCCAAGGATAGAATCATGTTCATTTAACTTTTAAGCTGGAACTACCGTCTTGTTTCTGTTTTTCTTTTTTGGCTTTTTGATATGCATAGATAGATATGCGTTTAGCATGGGAAACTGAAGCTTCATTGTATGGAAAGGCATCTTCCGCTATTTGTTAGACGGACCCAAGGATTCTTTTCCGTAAGTTCGCTGTTAGTATTGGTGTTGGACTGTACCTTGGAGTGNAGGTTTCTCCTAAATTTAGAGTCAGTGGACTAGTCCAATCGGGGGGAAACCACTTAAAAAAAAATCGTGAAAAGTTCCTCTTTAAAAGTTATACCCATCCCCCCTTTTTTCCTATCCCTTTTATT